CCTCAGTTTGCATATGCAGTGATGATCCTCATGTTGTTCTCCAGAAGTCTGTGCTACCCAGTGAAAGCATTCCATTATATGAGCTGGTGTGCATCTTTTTTTTTTTTTTCCTTTTTCCTAGCAAATTGACATTTACCGTCTGGTTTTGTTTATTATTTTGGGGGAATTTTTGGACACACCACATTTAATCTTATCATTGTTTGATCTGGAGTTTTCACTATGAGAGAGAACATGAACATCTGATCCTTCCTCCATTTCTAGTCTTCATTAATCCTTCAGAGGTGCATCACCAATTACTAGGTAATTACCACTGACCTGGAATTTAGTTAAATCACTGGGCTCTGGGTTACCTAAAATTTCTATATTTATTCTGCATTTTCTTGCAATGGAGCCAAAGAAGTGTTATGTGCTCTGTTTCTGAGATAAGATTTAGGAACTGAAATGAATCACAAATGAATCGTAAATTATATATAGGATTTTCTTTTCTCTCTTGTTTTAAGTTAAGGCCCTGAGCTCTTTGAAACAACAGAAAGAAAGATAGGCTAACCTCCCTTATCACAGTTTATTGTTCCTGTGTCCCCTCTGCTACTGAGCTTTTGTGTCAGGTACACAGGTGAGGGATGGTCCTTGAGGTGTACTTTGTTGAGATATAGACGTAAATTTCTGCATCTTTACTAAAGAGCAAGTTCAGGAATGCTTTCTTGGAAGAGATAGTACTGGGCTGAATCTTGAAAAAATAATCAAAATAGCCAGGTGAATAGATACCGTAAGAGCCTTGACAGTAGGAAAGCCCAGTTTGGTACCATCATGAGGCAAACAGTGTTGTTGATATAGCCAGTGAGGTAGGTAGGCATAGGTCAGATCATGGGGGCCTCACAGGCCATGCTAAAGAGTCTATTCTGATCCTCTGCACAGTGGAGTATCAAGCATTTTTGTTAGCTCTGACTGATTGCTACCTAAACAGAAATTATAAACTCAAATGCTAGGAAGATAGTGATGCCAGCCAGGTACCCCTTAGTCAGAGGGTTGACCTTGAGGATAGTGGGAAATTCTGCAGTCTAGTCTCATCTAACGGGGTGGTTACCACTCAGCTTGAGCTTGTCCTATGGGAAAATGGGCTCTGGTTTCTAGAAAAACTGAGTTAGAATGTGAATTCTTATGATCTCTAAATATTGGCAACTAATCTAATTAAAGGGAGCTCTGGTAGCATAGTGCCTAAGGCACTTGACTGCTCACC